CCCCCCCCCCCCGCAACGACAATCATCGCGGAACCCCCACATTTCCGGCAACAACCAAAAGCGCCAGAGCAGCTGCGGACAAAACAACTCGGTTGTGCGGAGGGAGCACGACAAAAGGCTGTGCGACACGCTCACAGCCTTCCCCAAGCCGCGTAATACCCCTCCACACCGCGCACATGTCGCCTTCGAAATCATCAACGCCAGGAGGAACAAAGAAGACGGCCTGACAGTGTCTCGAACGTCTCGTCCGAGTCGAACGTCTTGTGGGGTGCCATGTATCGGGATCAAATCGGGATCAGGTGAGATTCAGTGCTTCTTTCCTTTCTTCCCCTTCTTCCCCGCAGAGGCCCACCCGTCTCCCACCGGCTGACGACAGAAAACAATATTGTTCACGTAGAGATTTTTCGTCAAGGGCAAGCAAGGTTTCAAAGGGCAGTAAGGCAGGGGGATAGTGAGGGGAGGGCGGGAGGGCGGGAGGGCGGGAGGGAGCACTGAAAAAGCGGTATTTCGAACTGGCTAGGATATGAGCACGAGGTACGGACGGTGCCAAATCCAATCCGAGTGTTTGGGGGTGCCGTGGGGGGCGGAGAGAGAGAGATGGCAACCCCCCTAGACCGATTTCAAAGCTCGATTACTTCACGACCAAGATTGTCTGTACCGTACCGTATACCGTACCGTGGTATTCCGCAAGAGGCGAAGAGATGGCACCCCCCCTCGACCGATTTTCAAAGCTCCTTGCCATTGCGAGGGGCGGAGAGATGGCACCCCACTTCGACCGATTTTCAAAGGTCGGTTGCTCCATAACCAACCAAGCTTGTGCCAGCATCAAGAATGTTCGTTTTGCACCGCGTCGGGGGCTTTCCGCAGACGTATCTGGCTCTTTCCGCACCCCCTTGGTTGTGGAGCAATCGACCGTTGGAAGCCGGTCAGGGGGGGGTGCCATCTCTCCGCCTCTTACGGAAACACTACAGCGGTTGCCTTGTGTGTGTATACTGTCTGTCTGTGTCTGTCTCCGTGCCCGTACCTGAGAGACAGCTACGGGCTTGACGCTCACGCTCGCGCCTCCGAAACCGCCTACTAATCCTCCTCCCCCTCCCCCTCCCCCGCCGCCGCCGCCGCCGCCGCCGCCCCGACCCTGCTGCTTGCGTTGCAGGAACTCCGTCGCGAACGACGAAACCTGGGGGGGATGATACACACATGAAAAAAGCGTGTGAGGAAACAATCCTAGTCGAACTAATTACGCACACGTCATCGGTGTTGAGCCGGGGCACCGACAATCGTAACGGCCCTGGCCTTCAAAACGTTCGCGCCAAACCCTCGGAGCGCGCGAGACCAGACCGACGCGCTCGGGGGGGGGTCGTCGGAATCTCGTGAGAAACCGGACCGAAAACGAAACATATGTACATATATATTCGCATTGACCAAAAATCAAATTCCGGAACTCTCCAGAAATCGGTCCACACGACGATGTCGATTTTCGCCTTTCAACAATCTCTGCGTGACATTAGACTTGATTGTAGAGTGCACCCACGTGGGGGAGACTTTTTCTTGTTTCCCACGCAACACGCGTGGCGATCAGCACGCCAACCTTTGTCGTCACATTGACATCACTCAAATCAACACCGTATGTTCTGCTGTTGCTGTAGACAGACTCCAGCCCTTGAAAGGGTCGACAACGGGTGAGACCACCGTTTTTTGTCGACGGTGGCGAGAAAAGTAGCATCGAGCAGGTATGTGAACAGATGTTTGGTTGTGACGGGGACGCCTTCGTTGCCTTCGTCGCCTTCAACCCTGACTACCACATAATCCGAGCGTCAGCTGTTCGATGCTACTTTTCTCGTCGCCGTCGACAAAAAAACGGTGGTATAACCAAACCCGTGCGACTACTGCTGTTGCTGCAAATCGCGGGGTCAGAAAGATCGATCGATATTAGGTTAACCGACGACCCTGCCCCCATCACAAGATGGACTACGACACCGAACCACCGGGCTAATGCTAGAGCTAACACGCATCATCGCACCTCGGGGGTGGAGCCCAGGTACGCCGCGAGGTACTGCCTGATCTCAGACGCATCGGTGAGGGACATGCAGAACTCTAGCAGGGTCAGGTCGTCCTTCCCGCTCATCTTCTTGAGCTGCTGGCTCGCCCAGCTGGCCATGGCGGGGGACATGCCGGACCTAGTTTTTTTTTTTGTAGTAGTAGTAGTTGGAGGGAGGGACACCGAGGAAAACAAAAAACTCGGTGATGTTAGTGTCGATTTTCATGGGCGTACATCGAGAACAACAACCGGTTGAACTCTGCAGTACTGCAGTACTCACAACGTGTTTCGCCATAGACTATACCCGGATACACGAAGTACAAGAAAAAAAAAAAAACTCTTGTGGGGTAGGATGATGAAACATGGACGCTGTAGAAAATACACTTCTCCATTCAACACTGTTCTGTCAAAAACCTACTTCGACGTACACCCTAGAAATGGCACGCAAAAAACAAAACGGTGGCAACATCCCCAAACACCCCCGCGCCGCCAACTGACCCTCCGAACGCAGCCTTCCCTCCGCCGCCACCGCCCCCACCCTCCCGCTGCTGCTGCTGCTGCTGCTGCTGCTGCTGCTGCGTAGACGCCCCCATCGCCGCCGTACCCCGCGCCGCCGCTCCGGG